CCCAAATTCCCATTTTTTTGCCCCATTTTCCTGCTGGGTTTGGGCTGTTTCCCCCCAAAATGGGGTGGAATAAATGGTGGGGAAATGCCCAAATCCCGGGATTTCCCAAATTCCCGATGGGAATTCCCGCTTTTGTCGCTTTCCAGGTGAAACAACGGAAGAACCTGGTAAGGAATTGCTGAATTTTCCTTTTTAACCCTTAAAAATCCCTTTTTGGACCATTTTCCAAGGTGTTTTTCATGACCAGAAACTTATTATTATTATTATTATTATTATTATTATTATTAGTATTATTTGTATTATTTGTATTATTTTTATTATTTTTATTATTATTATTACAATTATTACAATTATTACTATTACTATTACTACTACTACTATTATTATTACTATTAAATTTATATTTTTATTATTTTTATTATTATTATTACAATTATTACAATTATTACTATTACTATTACTACTACTACTATTATTATTACTATTAAATTTATATTTTTATTATTTTTATTTTTATTATTTTATTATTATTACTATTACACTTATTATCATCATTATTATATTTACTATCACTATTTTTGGTTTTGCCATTATAATTGATGTTTTGTTGTTGCTCTAGAATATGATTTTGTTATTATATTTTATATTATTTTATATTCATTATGATCTATTTAATGTTATTAATTGCTAAATAAGAATATATAGAAATATTTCTAATATAAATATTATTTATTATGTATTCATTCTACAGTATTTTATTATGGATGTTTTGAATAATAATAACAATAATAGTAATATTATAATATTATTATATTATAATTATTATATTAATTTCTTTTTATTTTTATTTTTCATTATTTTCAGTAATTTTGAATTATTTTAATTTTGGTTTTTTCCGCTCTTTTTCCAGAGGAAATCGACAGAAAATTCGGTGGGTTCAGTTCCCATTTCTGGGCCGGAGCTGAAGGAAAAATAAAAAAATAAAAATCCCCAAATAATCCCAATTTTCCCTTTGGTTCCCAGAGGAGCTCAGGGCGGCGCTGGGTGAGTCCAGGATCCCAAAACTGGCACAAATTTGGGTTGAAATTTGGGATTTTCAGTTAATATTTGGGGGTTTGGATTTAAAAATTCGCTATTTTTGCTTAAAATTCAGGATTTCTACAAAAAAATTTGGGATTAGGATTAAAAATTACATTTTTTAAATTTGAAATCTGAGATTTTCATCCAAAGCAGAGTTTTTGCTGCCGGCTCTGACCCCGGGTTGGGTGATTTTTTTTGGGATAATTTCAATTTTTCCTCTTTTTTTCCCCCTCCCAGAATCCCGCGACGCCAGGATCGGTGCGTGTGCCCCTCCCCCGCCCGAAATTCGGGAATTTTGGGAATTTTGGGAATTTGGGTTCGTTCTGAAACTGAAACTGAGGAGTTTTGGGTTTTTCCCCTGGCAGCGGAGCTCTCGGAGGCGCTCGGTGAGGGAAACGCGGGAAAAAATTATATTTATATATAAATAATACAAAAATATAACTTATAATGCTATTAATTACAGATAATAATTTGTCTATAACTAATAATGTTATAAATTATTTTTATATAATCTATATAAAAATATAAATTTATTTTTAAATTTTATAAATATGTAATTTATAAAATTATTGTAAATTATATATATTCCTATATATAAATACTACATAAATTATATCTACAAATAGTATACATATATATATAAATATTATTATAATTTGTAATTACTGTGATCCAGCAGTTATGGTTTTGTGGTTCATAAACATAAAATCTGCCATTTTCCTAATTTATTATATATTTTATTCATTTTTATTAAATGAAATTTTATTTTATTGGAATATTATAATTTATTGATATAGTTTTTAATATAGTTTTAATATCATTAATGTAGTTTTTAATAAATACAAATACAAATATATAGATATAAATACAAACTGTATATTTATATTACTTAATACATCTTAAATATATTTAAGTGCACTACCCAATTAGAAATGTCATAGATTTAAATAATCTTTTAATGATTTGCTTTTTGATAATGTTTCCCTGGATTTTGTCCAATTTCCCACAGAACAACGGGAGCGGCGGATCGGTGAGAGGCCAAAATGGGAATTTTGGGAAAAATGGGGATTTTGGAAAATGGGGATTCTGGGAAAATGGGAATTTTGGAAATGGGAATTCTGGGAAAATGGGGATTCTGGGAAAAATGGGGATTCTGGGAGGATTAAAAATTACATTTTTTTAATTTGAAATCTGAGATTTTCATCCAAAGCAGAGTTTTTGCTGCCGGCTCTGGCCCCGGGTTGGGTGATTTTTTGGGGATAATTTGAATTTTTTTCCTCTTTTTTCCCCCTCCCAGAATCCCGCGACGCCAGGATCGGTGCGTGTGCCCCTCCCCCGCCCGAAATTCGGGAATTTTGGGAATTTTGGGAATTTGGGTTCGTTCTGAAACTGAAACTGAGGAGTTTTGGGTTTTTCCCCTGGCAGCGGAGCTCTCGGAGGCGCTCGGTGAGGGAAACGCGGGAAAAAATTATATTTATATATAAATAATACAAAAATATAACTTATAATGCTATTAATTACAGATAATAATTTGTCTATAACTAATAATGTTATAAATTATTTTTATATAATCTATATAAAAATATAAATTTATTTTTAAATTTTATAAATATGTAATTTATAAAATTATTGTAAATTATATATATTCCTATATATAAATACTACATAAATTATATCTACAAATAGTATACATATATATATAAATATTATTATAATTTGTAATTACTGTGATCCAGCAGTTATGGTTTTGTGGTTCATAAACATAAAATCTGCCATTTTCCTAATTTATTATATATTTTATTCATTTTTATTAAATGAAATTTTATTTTATTGGAATATTATAATTTATTGATATAGTTTTTAATATAGTTTTAATATCATTAATGTAGTTTTTAATAAATACAAATACAAATATATAGATATAAATACAAACATATAAGTATAAATATAAATATAAATATAAATATAAATATAAATATAAATATAAATATAAATATAAATATAAATACAAATACCTGTATATAAATACATAAATGTATATTTATATTACTTAATACATCTTAAATATATTTAAGTGCACTACCCAATTAGAAATGTCATAGATTTAAATAATCTTTTAATGATTTGCTTTTTGATAATGTTTCCCTGGATTTTGTCCAATTTCCCACAGAACAACGGGAGCGGCGGATCGGTGAGAGGCCAAAATGGGAATTTTGGGAAAAATGGGGATTTTGGAAAATGGGGATTCTGGGAAAATGGGAATTTTGGAAATGGGAATTCTGGGAAAATGGGGATTCTGGGAAAAATGGGGATTCTGGGAAAAATGGGGATTCTGGAAATGGGAATGCTGGGAAAATGGAGTTCTGGAAAAATGGGAATTCTGGAAAATGGGAATTCTGGAAAATGGGGATTTTGGAAATGGGGATTCTGGAAAATGGGGATTCTGGAAAATGGGGGTTTTGGAAATGGGGATTCTGGGAAAATGGGAATGCTGGGAAAATGGGAATTCTGGAAATGGGGATTCTGGGAGGAAAGGGGATTCTGGGAAAATGGGAATTCTGGGAGGAAAATGGGGATTCTGGGAAAATGGGGATTCTGGGAAAATGGGAATGCTGGGAGGAAAATGGGGATTCTGGGAAAATGGGGATTCTGGGAAAATGGGAATTCTGGGGAAATGGGAATTCTGGGGAAATGGGAATTTTGGAAATGGGAATTCTGGGGAAATGGGAATTTGGGAAATGGGAATTCTGGAAAATGGGGATTCTGGAAATGGGGATTTTGGAAATGGGAATTTTGGAAAAATGGGAATTCTGGAAATGGCCCCTCGTGGGAATTCTCATTTTTCCTCCTTGTCCAGCGGAGCTGAACGCGGAGCTCGGTGAGTCCTGGGGGGGAATCTCTTCTCTTTCCTTAATTGCAGAAATTAATTGCACGGGGAACCGTTTTCATCCTTAATTTCTTCATCAATTCCAATCAATTTTCTCCTTCCAGAGGAATCCCGACTGAGGATCTGTGAGTGTCCCGTCCCAGGGCTGCTTTATTTCTGTTTAAATCTGTTTTATTCCATTTTATTTCCTTTATTTTCCTATTTTATTTCATTTTTTTTTAATTTTACATAATTTTTTCTACTTTATACTAATTTATTTTAATTTTTAAAAATTTTTTTTAATTTAATTTTGGGGTTTTTTCCTATTTTATTTCATTTTTTTTTAATTTCACATCATTTTTTCTACTTTATACTGATTAATTTTAATTTTTTAATTTTTTCTACTTTATACTGATTAATTTTAATTTTTTTAAATTTTATTTTTATTTTTTTTGAATTTAATTTTGGGGTTTTTTCCTATTTTATTTCTTTCTTTTATTTTAATTTTAAATCATTTTTTCTACTTTATACTGATTTATTTTAATTTTTTTGAAATTTGATTTTTATTTTTTTAACTGAATTTTATTTTCCCACCCCGTTTTGCCGCCTTTCACTGCTGCTTTTTTGTGATTTCCCGCAGGGCGGTGCCTCGAGGAGCACCGTGAGTGTTCTCCCCTCCCTTCTCCCCTCGGAGCCCTCACCAAGGACTCCTTAATTAATTCTGGTGAAATTAATTAACTCCTTCATTCATTTCAGGGAAAGATGAAGAGCAAGTGGGTGAGTCCCTGTGGGAAAGGGACAGGGAGGGGCAGAACTCGGCATTTTTGCCTGGTTTCACCTTTTTCATCCCCTTTTCCCCTTTCCCCTCCTCTTTCCTGGCGTTTCTCCCTTTTTCTCCTCTCTTTTCCCATTTTCTCCTCTTTTTTCCCCTTTCCTGTTTCCATCTCCCCTTCCCCTCCTTGCGCCTGTTCTTTCCCCCCATTCCCCCCATTTCCCCTCATTTTTCCTCCATTTCCCCCCATTTTCCCCTCTTTCTCCTCCAATTTTCCCCCTTGCGCGTGGCCCTGGACTACGAGGGCGGCGGCGTGGCCTTCTTCGACGGCGACGGCCCCGGCGGCGCCGCGCCGCTCTTCGCCTTCCCGGCCGCCGACTTCGGCGGGGAGTGCGTGCGGCCCTGGTTCTGGCTGGAGCTGGGCGAGATCTCCATCGAAAAGTGACCCCAAACTCCTGCCAGGACACGTGTCCGGTCCTGGTTCTGGCCGGACATGGGAGATCTCCATCGAAAAGTGACCCCAAACTCCTGCCAGGACACGTGTCCAGTCCTGGTCCTGGCTGGACATGTCCAGTGACCCCAGGACACGTGTCCGGTCCTGGTCCTGGCTGGACATGTCCAGTGACCCCAGGACACGTGTCCAGTCCTGGTCCTGGCCGGACATGTCCAGTGACCCCAGGACAGCGTGTCCAGTCCTGGTCCTGGCTGGACATGTCCAGTGACCCCAGGACACGTGTCCGGTCCTGGTCCTGGCTGGACATGTCCAGTGACCCCAGGACACGTGTCCGGTCCTGGTTCTGGCCGGACATGGGAGATCTCCATCGAAAAGTGACCCCAAACTCCTGCCAGGACACGTGTCCAGTCCTGGTCCTGGCCGGACATGTCCAGTGACCCCAGGACAGCGTGTCCAGCCCTGGTTCTGGCTGGACACGGGGAGATCTCCATCGTCCAGTGACCCCAAAACTCCTCCATGGACATCACCTTCACCCCTGGTTCTGGCCGGACACGGGGAGATCTCCATCGTCCAGTGACCCCAGGACACGTGTCAGGCCCTGGTCCTGGCCGGACACGGGGACATCTCCATTGTCCAGTGACCCCAGACCCCCCCAGGACAGCGTGTCCGGTCCTGGCTGGACACGGGGATGATTTCCATTGTCCAGTGACCCTGGAATCCGTCCCAGGACACGTGTCCATCCCTGGTCCTGGCCGGACACGGGGACATCTCCATTGTCCAGTGACCCCAGACCCCTCCCAGGACACGTGTCCATCCCTGGTCCTGGCCGGACACGGGGACATCTCCATTGTCCAGTGACCCCAGACCCCCCCAGGCCGTCGCCGCCCCCTCCCCGCCCCGGGGGTAGCGTGGCCGAGCGGTCTAAGGCGCTGGATTAAGGCTCCAGTCCCTGCGGGGGCGTGGGTTCGAATCCCACCGCTGCCAGCGGAATTTTGGGCACGGCGGGAGGGGTCACATCTGGAGGAGCCCCCCACCCATTTTTGGGGTTTATCCCGGGGGAAACTGGGCTGGGCATCACCACAATGGTGAAAAAAATACCCTTTTTTGGGGTTTTTTCCCTGAGGGAAACGGGGCTCGGCATCACCAAAATTGGAGGATTTCACCCCAATTTCCCGCCCTGCCCACCCCGGGATGGGTTCCTGGGGAAGGGGAGCCCCCCCGCCGTGGGGGTCCCACATTCCCACCTCAGCAAATCACGACCCTGCTTTTCCAAAATCCCAATTCCGCTTTATTTCGCCTCATTTTGGAGCGGGGGGGAATTGGGGAAAGAAACGTGGGTTTGGGACGTGGTGTATCCACAAAAACAGGGTTTGGGACACGCTGAACCCACAAAAACAGGATCCAGACCCCGGGGGAACAGAGACCCCCAGCACCCCCCACCACGGATACCGGAACATTTTTGGGGTGGGAAGCGGAAAAATGAACATTTTCAGCTTCTAAAAGTGGAGTTGGGTGCACAGGAGCATCTTCATCATCCCAGGGACGGGCACCCAAAATTTGGCATCAGTCCCTGAGGTGGGCACCCAAATCCCCCAGTCCTGAGGGTCCTCACCCAAATCCCTGGGGGTCAGCACCCAAATCCCCCTCTCCCGGGGGTCCCCACCCAAATCCCCCTCATCCCTGAGGGTCCACCCCCAAATTCCCCCAATCATAAGGCTCCACACCCAAATCCCTGAGGGTCCACCCCCAAATCCCCCAAATTCTGGGGGTCCACCCCCAAATCCCCCCCGATCCTGATGGTCCACACCCAAATCCCCCCAATCCGGGGGGTTCTGGATGTCCCCCCAGTCCAGGTGTCCCCCCGATCCGGGGGTCCCGGGGTCCCCCAATCCCCCTCTCCCGGGTCTCCCCCCTGTCCCGGGGTCCCCCAATCCCCAATCCCGCTCTCAGCCCGTCCCCGCGCTCTCCCCCCAATCCGGGGGTCCCGGGGGTCTCCCCAATCCCGGGGTCCCCCCAATCCGGGGGTCCCCCCAATCCCAGTCCCGCTCTCAGCCCGTCCCCGCGGGCTCCCCCCAACCCGGGGGTCTCCCCAATCCCGGGATTCTCCCCCCAATCTGGGGGTCCCGGGGTCCCCCAATCCCCAATCCCGCTCTCAGCCCGTCCCCGCGCTCTCCCCCCAATCCGGGGGGTCCAGGGGGTCTCCCCCTCAATCCGGGGGTCCCGGGTGCCCCCCAATCCCAGTCCCGCTCTCAGCCGGTGCCCGCGCTCTCCCCACAATCCGGGGGTCCCCCAATCCCAGTCCCGCTCTCAGCCGGTGCCCGCGGGCTCCCCCCAACCCGGGGGTCCCGGGGGTCTCCCCCTCAATTCTGGGGTCCCCGCGGGCTCCCCACAATCCGGGTGCCCCCCAGTCCCAGTCCCGCTCTCAGCCGGTGCCCGCGGGCTCCCCACAATCCGGGGGTCCCCCAATCCCAGTCCCGCTCTCAGCCGGTGCCCGCGGGCTCCCCGCGCCGCAGGTGCGTCCGCAGGTGCTTCATGAGCGCCGAGCGCGACACGAAGCTCTTGGCGCAGCGGCCGCAGGGGAAGGGCCTCTCGCCGGTGTGCGAGCGCCGGTGGATGACCAGGCTGGAGCTGGCGCCGAAGCTCTTGCCGCACTCGCCGCAGCCGAACGGGCGCTCGCCCGTGTGCACCCGCCGGTGCCGCCGCAGCGCCGCGCCGTCCCGGAACGCCTTCCCGCACTGCTCGCAGGCCGGCCGCCGCCGCCGGGGGGGCGCCAGGACCCCCGGGACCCCCGCCGGACTGACCCCGAGGGGCTGGGGGGGCGCCGGGACCCCCGCCGGACTGAGCCCGAGGGGCTGGGGGGGTGCTGAGACCCCCGGGACCCCACTCGGCGCAGCCGAAGCCGCCGCCGTGCCGCGCCCGCCGGTGCTTCCCCAGCGACTTGGCCGCCATGAAGCCCTGCCCGCAGTCGGGGCAGGCGAAGGGGCGCTCGCCGGTGTGGATGCGGCGGTGCGTGACCAGCGCGGCCTCGCTGGCCAGGGTCTTGCCGCAGTCCTGGCAGCGCGGGGGGGCACCGGGACCCCCACCGGACTGACCCCGAGGGGCTGGGGGGGCACTGGGACCCCCACAGGACTGAGCCCGAGGGGCTGGGGGGGCGTCGAGACCCCCACACCATTTTTGGGGCTGACCCCAAGACGCTGTGGGGGCGTCGAGACCCCCGTGCCAAGCTTGGGGCTGACCCTGAGGGTCTGTGGGGTCACTGAGACCCCCGAGGAGCCGACCCCGAGACGCTGTGGGGGTGTCGGGACCCCCGAGGGGCTGACCCCAAGAGGGTGTGGGGGCATCAAGACCCCCACGCCGCGCTTGGGGCTGGCCCCGAGGGGCTGTGAGGACACCGAGACCCCCGCGCCATTTCTGGGGCTGACCCCAAGACGCTGTGGGGTCACCGGGACCCCCGTGCCACCCTCAGGGCTGTCCCCAAAAACCGAGACCCCCGTGGCCCCCTCGGTGCCATCACGGTGAGTTTTGTGGTGCGGGCAGGGTGTGGTGACCCCGGTAGAACCGCACTCGCGGCACGGTGCCACCGCGGCGCCGTCGTGGTGAGCCTTGCGGTGCGGGCAGGGCGCGGCGACCCCGATACCACCGCGATCCCGGCAGTTTTGTGGTGCGGGCAGGGTGTGGTGACCCCGGTAGAACCGCACTCGCGGCACGGTGCCACCGCAGCGCCGTCGCGGTGAGTCTTGCGGTGCTTGCCCAGCGACTTGGCGGCGGCGAAGGCCTTGCCGCACTCGGGGCACTCGTAGGGCCGCTCGCCGCTGTGCACGCGCCGGTGCGCCGCCAGCGCCCGGATTTGGGGATTTTGGGGAGAAATGAGGGGATTTGGGGATTTGGGGGTAATTTTGGGGGATGTGGGGGGGATTTTGGGGAGAACCGGGGGGATTTTGGGCTGATTTCGGGGGGATTCGGGGCCGGTTTCAGGGTGAATTTTGGGCCGATTTTGGGCTGATTTCGGGGGGATTCGGGGCCTATTTCGGGGTGAATTTTGGGCTGATTTCGGGCCGATTTGGGGGTGATTTCGGGGGTCCCGGGGGGTCGCACCTGGCGCGGCCTCGCTGCTGACCGTGACCTCCTGCCCCGCCTCGGGCACCTGCGCGGGACGAGCCGGAAACGACCCAAAGTTACCCAAATAAATTAATTACAATAACAAAAAAAAACCCGTTAAAAGCGTCAAAAAAAAACCCCAAAAACCAAACCAAACAAATTAAAAAAAAAACCCAAACAAAAAAACCCCACGAGGGAATAAAAATGTAGGAAATAAAGAGAAATAAATAAATGCCGGGAGATAAAAATCGGAAATTCGGTACAAAATGAAATTTAAACAAAACCAAATAAAATTAAAAACTCCATTAAATCAAATCAATAAGTTAAACAACAGTAAACAAAATACAGTTTAAAAATAATAAAATGCGGTTTAAAATTAAATTTAACCAGATAAATTAAACGAAAATAAATTAAATAAAGATAAGGTAAAAGAAAGAAGAAGTGAGGCGAGATAAATTAATTTGAAGTGAGATAAAATTAAGGCAAAGCGAAATAAAACAAAACAAACGAAATAAGGGTAAATGAAATGAATAAAGCAAAATAAAATAAAAGAAATTCGAACGAAACGCAGTAAAATAAAATTACAAAAAAAACCGAGAACTGAAGATTTAAAAACCCGAATGAAGAGACAAAAAAAAGGGGGGAAAGAAAAAAAGGGGGGAAAAAAGGGAAAAAAGGAAAAAAGGGGGGAAAAGGAGAAAAAAGAGGGGAAAAAAGAGGGGGAAAGGAGAAAAAAGGAAAAAAGGGGAAAAAAGGGAAAAAAAGGGAAAAAACAGGGGAAAAAGGGGGGGAAAGGATAAAAAAAAGAGAAAAAAGGGGGAAAAGCAAAAAACGAGGAAAAAAATGTAGGAAATAAAGAGAAATAAATAAATGCCGGGAGATAAAAATCGGAAATTCGGTACAAAATGAAATTTAAACAAAACCAAATAAAATTAAAAACTCCATTAAATCAAATCAATAAGTTAAACAACAGTAAACAAAATACAGTTTAAAAATAATAAAATGCGGTTTAAAATTAAATTTAACCAGATAAATTAAACGAAAATAAATTAAATAAAGATAAGGTAAAAGAAAGAAGAAGTGAGGCGAGATAAATTAATTTGAAGTGAGATAAAATTAAGGCAAAGCGAAATAAAACAAAACAAACGAAATAAGGGTAAATGAAATGAATAAAGCAAAATAAAATAAAAGAAATTCGAACGAAACGCAGTAAAATAAAATTACAAAAAAAACCGAGAACTGAAGATTTAAAAACCCGAATGAAGAGACAAAAAAAAGGGGGGAAAGAAAAAAAGGGGAAAAAAAGGGAAAAAAGGAAAAAAGGGGGGAAAAGGAGAAAAAAGAGGGGAAAAAAGAGGGGGAAAGGAGAAAAAAGGAAAAAAAGGGGAAAAAAGGAAAAAAAGGGGAAAAAAGGAAAAAAAGGGGAAAAAAGGAAAAAAAGGGGAAAAAAGGAAAAAAAGGGGAAAAAACAGAGGAAAAAGGGGGGGAAAGGATGAAAAAAAGAGAAAAAAGGGGGAAAAGCAAAAAACGAGGAAAAAAAGAAAATAAAAGGGGGAAAAAAGGGGGAAAAGGGTGGAACAGGAAAAAAGGAGCAAAAAAACGAAAAAAGGGAAAAAAGGGGAAAAAAGGAAAAAAAGGGAAAAAGGGGGAAAAATTTAAAAAGGGGGAAAAATTTAAAAAGTGGGAAAAGGGGAAAAAGGGGGGGAAAAAGGGGGGGAAAAAGGGAAAAAAGCTGATTTTAAGGAAGGAAAACCAATAAATAATTTGTTTAAATTAAATTAAAATTTAAAAACTGAACATTTGGGAGCCCCCCCCGCCCCTCCCCCCCTACCTGCGGCTCGGCCATGGCGGGGGGAGGGGCGGGGGCGGTTTGGGGGTCCCGGGGGGTCCCGAGAGCTCCGGGAGCGGCTCCGGAGCGGCGGCGGCGCCGGGGGGGAGGGGCCGTGACGTCACCGTGACGTCACCGGGGGCATATCGTGGGGCTATCGGGGGGATATCGGGGGAATATCGCGAGATATCGCGGGATATCGCGGGATGTCGCGGTGTATCGGGCGATATCGGGGGGTATCGTGGGGATATCGCGGGGATATCGCGATATATCGGGGGGATATCGCGGGATATCGTGGATATCGGGGGAATGGGAATTTGGGTTAAAAGAGGGGGAATTCGGGTGAAAAATAGGAATTTGTGTTAGAAAAAGGGATTTGGGTTAAAAAGGGGGAATTGGGGTCAAGAAAAGCAGAATTTGGGTTAAAAACGGGAGAAATGGGTTAAAAATGAGAATTAGGGTTAAAAATGAGAATTAGGGTTAAAAAAGAAGAATTTGAGTTGGAAAAAGTGGAAATTGGGTTGAAAAAGGGGAATTAGGGTCAGAAAAGGGGAATTTGATCAAAAAAAGGGGAAATCGGGTTAAAAAGGGGGAAATTGGGTTAAAATGGGGGAAATGGGGTTAAAAATGGGAATTGGGGTTTAAAAGGGGGAAATTGGGTTAAAAATGGGGGAAATTGGTCCAAAAAGGGGGAATTCGGGTTGAAAGGGGGAAATTGGGTTAAAAAAAAGCGGAATTAGGGTTTAAAAGGGGGGAATTGGGTTAAAAAATGGGGAATTTGGTCCAAAAAGGGGGAAATTGAGTTAAAAGGGGGAAAATCGGGGTTAAAAAGGAGAATTTGGGTTAAAAAGGGGGAATTTGGTCAAAAAAGGGGGGAAATTGGGTTAAAAAGGGGGAAATTGGTCAAAAAAGGGAGGAATTAGGGTTAAAAAGGGGGAAAATTCGGTTAAAAATAGGAATTGGGGTTTTAAAGGGTGGAAATTGGGTTAATAAAGGGGAATTAGGGTTAAAAGGGGGGGAAATAATTGGGTTAAAAATAGGAATTTGGGTTTAAAATGGGGAAATTGAGTTGAAGGAGAAGGAATTTGGGTTTAAAGGGGGGAAAATTGGGTTAAAAAGGGGGAATTTGGGTTAAAATTGAGGGAAATTGGGTAAAAAAAATGGGGAATTTGGTCCAAAAGGGGGGAATTAGGGTTAAAAAAGGAGAATTAGGGTTAAAAAGGGGGAATTGGGTGAAACCACCCATCCCTGCCCCCGGGCTCAGCGCTCCCGCTGCGCCATCAGCGCCATCAAATTCCCTTTTTTCCTTTTTCCCCGGAAAATTCCTCACCGGGAGCGCCAAAAACCCGAACTGGAGCCCGGGCCCGATTCCCCCGGATTTTCCCCAATTTTTCCCTAATTTCCCTCAGTTTTTTCCCCCCGTTTTTCCCCAATTCCCCCCAATTTTTCCCCAATTTCCCCCAGTTTTCCCCCAATTTTCCCCATTTTCCCCCAGGTTTTCCTGGTTTTCCCCAATTTCCCCCAGTTTTTTTCCAATTCCCCCCAATTTCCCCCAGTTTTTCCCCATTTTCCCCCCATTTTCCCCCAGTTTTCCCCTCTGGAGTGGGAAATAAAAAGGAAATTTTTAAAGTTTTTAACTAGTTCACTTTTTTTCAACTTTTATTTCTTCTATTTAGCTGTAATTTCTTCCATTTATTTTTAACTTTAATTTCTTCCATTTAATTTTAACTTTAATTTTAATTTCTCCCATTTAATTTTAATTTCTCCTATTTAATTTTAATTTCTCCTATTTAATTTCCATTTCTTCCATTTAATTTCTCCCATTTAGTTTTAATTTCTCCCAATTAATTTTAATTTCTCCTATTCAATTTTAATTTTAATTTCTTCCAAATGGAAAAATTTTAATTTCTCGCATTTAATTTTAATTTCTCCTATTTAATTTTAATTTCTCCTATTTAATTTCCCTTTCTTCCATTTAATTTCTCCCATTTAGTTTTAATTTCTCCCAATTAATTTTAATTTCTCCTATTCAATTTTAATTTTAATTTCTTCCAAATGGAAAAATTTTAATTTCTCGCATTTAATTTTAATTTCTCCTATTTAATTTTAATTTCTCCTATTTAATTTCCCTTTCTTCCATTTAATTTCTCCCATTTAGTTTTAATTTCTCCCAATTAATTTTAATTTCTCCTATTCAATTTTAATTTTAATTTCTTCCAAATGGAAAAATTTTAATTTCTCGCATTTAATTTTAATTTCTCCTATTTAATTTTAATTTCTCCTATTTAATTTCCCTTTCTTCCATTTAATTTCTCCCATTTAGTTTTAATTTCTCCCAATTAATTTTAATTTCTCCTATTCAATTTTAATTTTAATTTCTTCCAAATGGAAAAATTTTAATTTCTCGCATTTAATTTTAATTTCTCCTATTTAATTTTAATTTCTCCTATTTAATTTCCCTTTCTTCCATTTAATTTCTCCCATTTAGTTTTAATTTCTCCCAATTAATTTTAATTTCTCCTATTCAATTTTAATTTTAATTTCTTCCAAATGGAAAAATTTTAATTTCTCGCATTTAATTTTAATTTCTCCTATTTAATTTTAATTTTTTTCCTTTTTCCCCGGAAAATTCCTCACCGGGAGCGCCAAAAACCCGAACTGGAGCCCGGGCCCGATTCCCCCGGATTTTCCCCAATTTTTCCCTAATTTCCCTCAGTTTTTTCCCCCCGTTTTTCCCCAATTCCCCCCAATTTTTCCCCAATTTCCCCCAGTTTTCCCCCAATTTTCCCCATTTTCCCCCAGGTTTTCCTGTTTTTCCCCAATTTCCCCCAGTTTTTTTCCAATTCCCCCCAATTTCCCCCAGTTTTTCCCCATTTTCCCCCCATTTTCCCCCAGTTTTCCCCTCTGGAGTGGGAAATAAAAAGGAAATTTTTAAAGTTTTTAACTAGTTCACTTTTTTTCAACTTTTATTTCTTCTATTTAGCTGTAATTTCTTCCATTTATTTTTAACTTTAATTTCTTCCATTTAATTTTAACTTTAATTTTAATTTCTCCCATTTAATTTTAATTTCTCCTATTTAATTTCAATTTCTTCCATTTAATTTCTCCCTTTTAATTTCTCCCAATTAATTTTAATTTCTCCTATTCAATTTTAATTTTAATTTCTTCCAAATGGAAAAATTTTAATTTCTCGCATTTAATTTTAATTTCTCCTATTTAATTTTAATTTCTTCATTTTAATTTCAATTTTTCTGGCTCCGTTTTTTAACCCAAAATCGCTCAGAACAAACCAGACACAGCTCAGAGGGGGGGTTTATTTATCGTGTCCCCCCCGTGTCCCCTGCTCACCTCCGTGTCCCCCCAGGAGCCCCTTGAGGACCCCCCAGCCCCAGCGCAGGAGGTTCAGCAAACACTGCAGGCCAGCGCACATCCCTGGGGACATGGGGACATCGGGGACATTGGGGACATCGGGGACATTGGGGACATCGAGGACATTGGGGACACCACAGGGACATGGGGACACGATGGGGACAATGGGACAATGGGGACAATGGGGACAATGGGGGAGGACACAGCCCCCCCCCCCCCCCCGGCCCAGGGTCCCAGCGGCCCCCACGGCGCTGTCCCCTCCCTGTGTCCCTGTCCCTGTCCCATCCCTGTCCCTGTCCCTGTCCCCACATCCCCCATGTGCCACATCCTGTCCCCGTGTCCCTGTCCCCATCGTGTCCCCGTGTCCCTGTCCCTGTCCCCACATCCCTCACGTGCCACATCCTGTCCCCATGTCCCTGTCCCAGCCCTGTCCCTGTCCCCACATCCCTCGTGTCCCCACTTCCTGTCCCCAATGTCCCCACCCTGTTCCCGTGTCCCCACCCGACCTTCCCCATGTCCCCGACCTGTCCCCAGCCTTGTGTCCCCCTGTCCCTGTCCCCATCCCTGTCCCCTCCGTCCCCATCCCTGTCCCCATCCCTGTCCCCGTTGTCCCCCCCCGTCCCCCCTGTCCCCATCCCTGTCCCCGCTGTCCCCTCGCTGTCCCCTCTGTCCCCCCTGTCCCCACTCACCGGCAGCTCGGTCGGTGCCGCGGTGGCTCCGGGGCCGCCCTTAAATCCCGGGGGGACAGGGAGGGGACAGAGGGACAGGGAGGGGACAGGTTGGTGACAGGTTGGTGACACGGCGGTGACGCGGCAGGTGAGGGGGCGGCTGACAGCGGTGACAGAGGTGACAGAGGTGACAGAGGTGACAGGTTGATGACAGGGGTGCCATGTTGGTGACAGAGGTGACAGGCTGATGACGGGGCGGGTCACAGGGCAGGTGACAGAGGTGACAGGGAGGTGGCAGGGCCGGCGAGGGGGCAGGTGACACGGGTGGCACAGGTGGCACAGGTGGCACAGGTGACAGAGGTGCCAGGGGTCCCAGGGGTGCCAGGCTGGTGGCAGGGGTGACAGAGGTGACACAGGTGCCAGGTTGGTGACAGGGAGGTGGCAGGGCCGGCGAGGGGGCAGGTGACATGGGTGGCACAGGTGACACAGGTGACAGGGGTGACACAGGGCCGGTTGTCCCGGTCCCGCCCGGCCCCGCGTGGGAGGGGACACGTGGGGGGACAGGGACACGTGAGGGGACAGGGACACGTGGGGGGGACACAGGAAGGGGACGCGGGACTGGCACGGGGACAGGGGACACCTGGGGGACATGGGGGGGACACGGGGACATTGGGGACATTGAGGATCCTGGGGACACTGGGGACAAGGAGGGGACATTGGGGACATTGGGGACATTTGGGGGGACACTGGGGGGGGACATTGG